TTACGACTGAATCGACTTTTCAATTCTCTATCCAACGATGCCAAAACGAATTCTGTGGCTCGAATGGTTCTTGAGAAACTTCGTAAAAAGCAGCGCCATGTTCAAGTGGATTTTGCAACTGAAAAAAAAACACGCAAATCTAAAACTTCTTGAATTCAAGCATTTTTTGAGAAAACTGCCAACACTGCCACAGGTAGTCACCAAATGTTAATTAGGCAGATTAGCTTGAAAAACATTGTTGCCATCCTTGTGATCTAGTTTGTTGCAAATTTCTATTTTTTCTGTTCTCCCAAGACACCCCCAGACAACACCTCCAAAGGAATGACGCCAATGTTGAATCACCCTGTATTTTCATGATTCTATGCTATTCTGTCTTAGATTGAGCGAAGCCAGAAGCCCTTTGCACATCAACCGCAACACCTGGCTCAGAACCAGCTTGAAACGATCCACGCCCAAGTAAGTCTGCGCCCGCACTCAATTCCATTCACTCACTCACCTGCGGCTTTTTCCAGCAATCCCGACTCGTTGCCCAACAGACGATGGGGCTCCTTCAGGCAGTAAGTGCGGTTTCCTGGCAATAGTTTGGCAAGTTGTTAACTTTCTCGTTTACAGCAACGGCAGACGGGCGCAGAATCTCAGCTCCAACGCCCTGGCCAGGTAAGTGCGGGCTGAGCGCTCAGAACCGGACTGAAGTCCGCGTTTCCGTTTCAGCCAGCTCTATAGAAGTTCTAGTTTCAATTCATCCGGCAGGAGCAGCACGTGCGATACCACCGATGACATGTATTCGGATGCTTCCCTCGAAGAAGACGTGCACGATCTTCACCATAAAGTAAGTCCACGCCCCTGCTCCTGGTCTATAAAGCGATTAGCTGGGCCGGCCATATCTCCCGACCTAGAGCCTGCTGACTTATCCAGCAATTAATTGATGTCGGGCACATACACACGGACTCACGATGACAACGTAATTCGTATTTCATTCGCTGTTATCACGCCCTCGGTGTCTGTTTTTCGGCTGTCGCCGATAGCATCCATGGAACTGTGCCATGCACATTCGCACTGCTTATTTATCGGGCTATTTTCGACTTGCGTGTAGTTTTTTCGGCGAATTCGCTGTTTATTTTCAAGCCGTGCGCTCAGTCCGAGTTCGTCAGTTGGTGTGTGAACCTTCCACCTTTGGGGGGACTTTCCTTGGCATTTCCTCGCCTATTGTAAACATGGCACGTACGCGGCCCCCCAAGACTCATCGCTGATTCAACACCATTAAGCACTTCCTCTCCCATCATGGATCGCAACGGTGCCGAAAGCGACGAGGATGAACCCGAACTCGCGTTCGACATGTGGGAGGGCCAGTTTGAGTTTTCCGGGCCCGCAGGGTTCAACAGTGACATGGACAGGAATTATTTCACTCGAATCAAAGATGGCGAAAATAGTGTAGGTTTTAGGGCCTGCAGCAGTGGATTTGTTGCCCATTAAACCATGGCTGAGTGGTGGCGTTGCAGTTTCAGGTGCTGCAGCAGCAAGTGGGCGTGCTTCAGGACTCGGCCAGTCAAAAGGACGAGCGCTACACGCGTGTTAAGGCGGAGAACGCGGCCCTGCAGGCGCGCGTTCTAATGCTGGAGGAGCAGCTGCGCGACACCGAGCTGAGATGCGACGACAAAATCGAAGTGAGTGCTAAAGTTGCCCCAAAACTTATTGCAGAACTTTGCAACTAGCCCTGGTATGGGGCGCGCAGGTTGCGCTCGGCTGTTTGTATCCCCGTGCCGGAAACGGCCGAGCGTCTGCGGCGCCGCTTCATGCGGACCGAGTGCACTACGAGGGGCGTTCGCGATTTCCCTCACTTATGCTTTCTGACGCAGGATGAGCAACGCCGATCCAAAGAGCTGCTGCAGCGAATCGAGCGTGAGAAGCAGCTGCAGCTGGAGAATGCAGCGATTCGCCTCCAGAATGCGGACAGCGAGTGCGACAAGCAGCGCGACGAGATCAGCAGGCAGCGCCTCAAGCTGGACAAGCTGGAGATGCAGCGCGAAGACCTGGCCAACCAAGTGCAGGACCTGCAGAGCGATCTGAACGAGGCGCGTGATGAAGCCAAAGCGTGCAAAGACAGAGAGAACAGGTCAGTGACTAACTAAAGAAAAAAGAAAAACTAAAACTAGCGGGTTTTTAGGCCGTCATTCAATACAATTTCTTCCTGAAGATGCAAGCCACTCAACGTCAGGAAGAAATTCTCTTGTACGACGGCCTAAAAACCCACCAGTTTTAAGAAATGGCCACGAAAGCACGGGCGGATCCAGTT